CTGGTCCCCTTTTGCCCATCGCCTCCCCCAACTGCCCCCTTCAGCCTCCCCCCTGTCCCCCAACTGCCCCTTCAGCCTTCCCCCCATCGCCCCTGGTCCCCTTCCCCCCCATTGCCTCCCCCAACTGCCCCCTAGGTTCCCCCCCGCTGCCCCTTAAGCCTTCCCCCGAACTCCTCACCCAAGTGCCTGCCCTACCTGACCCCCTTCAGCCTCCCCCCCCCAACTGCCCCTTCACTCCTTCGTACACTCCCCTCCCTGCGCCTCTCCCCAAGTTCCCAGATCCACCGCCCTCAGGTTCCCTTCTCCCCAACCACCTGCTTTCTTACCATGGGTAACGGGGGCCAGAAATGTTTTTTAAAAAACCTAAAATAAGTTGGACAACCCCCCCCCCCCCCCCCCCCCCTTGCTTTGTGCTGAGAGCCCAGCTAGGGTGACCAGATGTCCTGATTTTTGGGCCTTTTTCTTATATAGGCTCCTATTACCCCCGCACCTCCTGTCCTGATTTTTCACACTTGCTGTCTGATCACCCTAAGCCCAGCTGCAGGCCTGGGATGGGGTGTGTTCTGAGCTCACACCTTTCAGGGAAGGGGTGGAGTTGGCTGAAGTGGGGGGGTCGGGCGTGTTGAATCTTTAGCAGAGAATTCTTTTCTCCACCGTGTTAGCTAAGCATTGCCATTAAAGGTCAGCCAACAAATGCAGCATTTGAAACAATCTGACTATAAATCCCTTGCCCTCTCAGTTGCTGTAGTTTTCACATCCTCTGCTCTTGTGATGTCACCATATGACATGGTCTCTAGTTACTATAGAGTCTTATAGATTAGACAGGACCTGAGATTGTAATGGTGAAAAACGAAGCATAACTCCCTCCCCTTCTCCCTTTTGACTGAGGAAAAATAAATCCTGCAGGCCTCTCTTATCCATCATAAAGAAGCAAATAGGGCCCAAGCCAAATATCTCCATCCCCCCTTTGCAGGATCGCTAGTAGTTGTTCAGACTTGGTTCCTTGCACACCCAACACTCAGTATGAGTCTTAAACACACAACAAATTCATAGCGGGTTGGAGTGAGATGCTAATCGCAATGTAATTCGCTGCATCAGAGAGACACATTTCTACCAAGTAATCTGAGCGCTTATTAGTGAGATGCAATAGGAACCCTCATTAAATATGGATTTCTTACCCACAGCTAGATCTGTTCCAGTCCTTGAAATGGTTGGCAGTGTTTTTTTTTAAGTCAAATATTTTCATGACCCCCTTACATTTATTATGAGGGTTTTTTTTAAAAAGAGTAGCAACAATAAACCTATATAATGTATTTGTGTATGGCCTTAAGAGGTTGACCAAGAATACTTGACCTTGATGAGTGAGAGTAGTGGGGGGTGGGAGAGCTAGATTTTCTTTGGTTTAGATTGTAATAAAACGTTAATGCCTTGTGACTACGTCCTCCTACCCCCGATTGCCTTATGTGATCCCCTCTGAGGATCGGGATCTGCTGGTTGAAAAGCACTGTTCTGTAGTAATGCAAACTGGGTTTCTGTTGCTTCTCGTTCCCTCTCAGGTTCGTTGTCAAAGGCAGCCTGGCTGGAGGTGCCATGTACGTGGCGTATGATCAGGGGCTGCTGGGGAATGGCAGTCAAGGAGCAGAGGCCCTCAAAAAGGCTCGAGCAGCGCTGCCTCCAGCTATACAGGAATGGACGAATTACACAGGCTGGGAGGTAAGGACTGTGCCAATAATCCTGGTTAGCAAATTGTCTTGGTGGTGAGGGAGGAAGGGAAAGGGCTGGGGTAAAATTCTGGCTCCGTTGATGTCAACGGGAATTTTGTCATTGACTTCAATGGAGCCAGACTTCTCCCCAGTACTTATTTTTTAATAGGAGGGGAATGGAAGAATAGATTTTTAAACTTGTTGGGAGGGAGAGAATTTATCTGAGGTGGGATACGAAAGGGATAAAGAAAGGATGAGAAAAAATGAAAATGTCATCTGGGAGAGTTTTTTTTTTTTTTTATATATAGCTGGTATTCCTGAGCCACCTTTCCTCTGAGGATCTCTAAGCACTTAACAAACACTAATGCGTAGATCTTAAAGACCCATTTCGGCCATGGTGCTTATAGTTAATCAAGTTGTATATAAATTGCTTACTGTTTTTGTCATTGTTCGGGGTGGTTGTTTTTTTTCCCCCTCACCTAATCAGTGTCCTTAGATTGTGAGCAACTCAGTCACCTTAGTGACTTAGGCACCTAAGCTGCTTTTGAAAATGTTACCCTTTGATCCAATTTAACAGCTGGGTCAACTGAGTCAGAGCTTAAGTGATTTGCCCAAGGTGACCCAGGGAGTCTGGTAGCTTCTGTTTTTCATTATCCCCTCTAAGCCATTGTTTAGCCGTTTCGTATATAGTTCATGTCCACAAACACTTCTGATTCTCCCCCACCCCTTTTCTTTCTTTTTTTTTTAGCTTCCATCCACTCCAAAATTTGACTTTTCTGTCTCTGAATCCTGGAACACAGGTAAGACTTGATTCTTTACTGTCTAAGCTATAGAATGGGTCTATGATTAGTGATACAATTTATCCTAGAATGCTGGCCCATTAGACTGAAAGATGGGTGGGAGGCAGTGTGGCCTAGTGAACAGAGCAATGGATTGGAACTTGGGACACCTGGGTTCTAATTCTTGGCTTTGCCACTGGCCTACTGAGTGACCATGGCCAAGTCACTGCCTGTCTGTGCCTCAGTTTCCCATCTGTGAAATGGGGATAATGATGTTGATTTCCTTTGTAAAGCGCTTTGAGATCTACTGATGAAAAGTGCTGTGTAAGAACTAGGGATTTTTACTATTATTACCTATGCAGCAGGTAATTTAAGACAGCAGAACTGACCATGATCAAGTAGGTAGCAATATAAAGAGACACTGTGATGACTTTTACTCCTGAGAAGTCCCGTCTCTGATGAAGGATTGAAGAGTTTATAAACACAACAGGCCTGTTGTATAAGGCTACTTAGTACAGTTGAACTCAACCTTTGCCCTGCTAGGCTAGTGTGAAAAGGGAAGATGTTTCCCTTTATTCCTGCACCCCCTTAAGATGATATTTTGTCCTTCTCTAGCAATTTTTATCTGAGCATTTCAAAGCACTCTGCAGACACTTAGCAAATTAGTTCAGCGCTCTCATGATGCAGCTAAATTTCCTCATTTTACAAACAGGGAAACTAAGGCCCACCGACATTAAGTGACTTGCCCAAGGTTACACAGAGGGAGTCTATGGGAGGACCAGGAATAAAACTCAGCTCTCCCAAGTCCTGGTGCTGTTTTAACCACAAAACCATCTTTCCGACCTGGTTTGAGGTGATGTGAGACAGATTTCCCCACCTCAGAGTCCACTGATGCCAGATGAGACAAGAATTATGCCTAGGTTTGTCTGAAACCTCCCTTCATAAGAATAAATCTCACCTATTAAATGGGGAGATCTATGTCATCCATCATGAATAACAGTAGCAAGTTCAGCGTTGTGTTAATGCTCTTCTCAGGACATCTCTCCGCTACTTTTCTTGCAGGAGTTCAGGCCACCATGTCTGCTCTATCTGTAGCTCCCACCAAGGTCCATGAATACACCCAGGATGGCTGGAAGTACATGAAGAACCTCATCAAATGAACATTCTCTCTCTCCAGCATTTGCTGTTTCCTCCATGCTACTGTCTCAGGGATGAGATGTAGTACACCCCACTAGAGGGCAGCTCAGCCATGCAAAGGCTCCAATAAAAGACTCTGGAACTTCCCTTTGCTTGTGGGTTGGTGTTAGCATGCCGGCTCTGCAGTTATTGTTGGTTTTTATTACAGTAGTGCCTACAGGCCACAAAGGAGATCAGGGCCCCATTACGCTGGTGCTGTACACACACATACTCCCTGCCCTAAAGAGCTTGCAATCTAAATAGACTGTTAGGAAACTTTGGCCATCTAGAAAGTGAGTGCCAACTATTTCAGTGCTATGTATCTTAAAAAAACCAACCTAGGACAATTAACCAGCCACTCACGGTATGAAAAGATCTGCCCCAAGAACAGATTCTGCAAATTACTGTAGAACTCTATCAAATGGAGAGGAAGGGGGCTTTTACCCCTTACGGCCCTAAGAATGTTAAACCGTGGGAGTGACGAGGGGTTTTTGACACCTTATCCCAGGCTGTGACTCCCAATACTGAATAATTTTGTTCTTGCAGCATTGAATCTATTGATCATAATGGTCTCTTATGGCCTCACAATCAATGGGATTCAGTGGGATTACTCCTATAGGATGGCCTGTGAGTAAGGATGGCCGAATCAGACTCTTCTTTAGCAAAGGGGGGAAATTAGATATCCTACGTGAAAAGTGTCAGACTTTTAAAAATATATATTTAATGTGAAATTCCTTATTTGAGAACGTGATGCACCAAATGATGTATTTGGCCCAGTAAAAGCAGCAGCAGCTAACTTTTCCCGTCTCTCCTCCATTTCTTCTAATAGCTGAGCTCTAAGTGCTTTACAGACATTAGCTCTCCCCCTATTTTTGAAGCAGGCAGGAAGAAGAGTCGCAGGCAGGTGAAGGGACTTGGCAAAGGTACCTCAGCAAGTCAGTGGCAGAGCAAGGAATCTCTTTATGCATAAAGCACTTATTGTTCGAGTAGCTGGAGGTAGAACCCAGGAGTCCTGACTGGGGGTAGCTGGATTTTCAGCAGCAGCTGCTGGATGCTGAGCAGGTTTGAAAAATCTGGTCACTTCTTTTAGGTGCTTAAACGGGAGCTGAGCAGTTTGGAAAAAGCTGCTCCAATGTGTTGCTCGTGTGTTCTGGATGGTGATGCCCTCCCAGAGCAGACCTGGATCAGGCTGACGTGCGTCTGCTATATTATGGTCTCGTACTCCTGGTGTGTTGTTTCAACGTAGAGCTCCTCGTGTTCCCAGTATATTAATGTTCGCCTTTTCTCCGGTTGCTGGCGGAGTGAGTTCTTCTTGACCGTGCACTTCATGCTTTTCTCTTCTAAGTAAAAGATAAAAATGCAACCACCATCATCAATGATTCTTGTAAAGCAGCTTGCCTATTGTTAGGTAACCAGGTGGTCGTCCCATGGATGAACTAACAGCTGCATCTCTAATTCCCCCTGTGGATGCGTGGCCTATGACCAAAAGCAACCAGTGGTGAAAATCCGGATTTGTATCTGGATTCTGAACCCTACCAATGATAAGGTGTTTGGAGCTAGGGTTCTTGTCTGAGCCCCTGTCTACTTGTGGGTTTACCCAGAGGCAGAGGCCCGGTTTGCTTCTGATTTGGAGGAGCATCTTATGTGGTGGCTTTGCTTGGCCACTGTCAGAAGACAGAATGCTGGGCTAGATGAACCATTGGTCTGACCCAGTATTGCCGTGCATAGAGAATGGAGTCCATACCATGAAGCCGCTGTGCACAGAAATCTTGCAAAGGGACAACTGAAAATGGCTGGACAGCTGAGCTATCCCAGACCTGTGAACAGCTACATAAACGTGTTAAAACCAGCATGGAACTTTCATTAAGGCCCTGGGTTACCTGATATTTGAGCAGGGCCGGCTCTACGATTTTTGCCGCCCAAGGCAAAGACAATTTTGGCCGCCCCCCGGCCCCGCCTCAACTCCACCCCTTCCCCAAATCCCCAGCCCTGCCTCCTCCCCCCAGGCTCCCAAGCCTGGGAGGGGGGGGGAGCAGCGGCGCGCGAAACGGCTGCTTCGCCCGCCA